CCGGGCAGAGTTTCCTTGTATAACTCCGAATACTCGTTGTCAGACTTCGCCGCAGTCTCGACACTAGTCAAGTTAGAGAGATCGAACTTCTCGACACTAGTCTTAGTTAGTGGGATCGAACTTCGGTCACTAATTCTAGAGACTTCTTTGTGGCCTATCGTGTGAGCGTTTCCAGAGCTTCCCCTCCCACTGCTTGACATCCTTCTTGAACGGAACTTTTCCCTCATCCTGCCGCTTCCTTTCCGCCTAACTGTGTTCTATGTCCCCTCTGGACCACCGGACCTCCTCCCCTCGTCCCGTCAGTCAGCTGAGGGAAGCTCGTATCGACCGGCACCCTCATTGGCGCGCTATGAGAGGGTCTCCCTTCTGCTCCCTCCCACGAACAATTATTTAGTGATTTTTACGGAATCCCCATTAATGAATTTATTGGTGTTATTGCCAGCAAGTTGCTTTCAGTTACATCAGTCATCGCTATATTTGAGAGCAGACTTGAGCGCTAGTGTTGGGATACACGAGCCAAGTGTCGCGCAGCAGCGTGACGATTTTAGCTGCTTTTACGTGTGTCACGGTTTAAGAACCATTCGTTTATCGACTGAAGAGTGCATGCGCTTTATCCTATATCCCTTGATAGCGTTTTCCTTGACTTTTATTTCTGGTTTCTGTGATTAAGCGCATTCACAACGCACATTCCAAATCAATTTTCCCCTCATGATAACAGTTCAGTCGAATGCCATTAACTTACTTTTATTTCTAGTATTTGCCTTCAGTCTGTCCCCATTATATTCGTAGAAGGCTTCGTTACGCGGCGAAGTCTCAAGTTCAAAAATATATGCAGAAAGGATACATAATTAAAACCATCATGTTAGCCTTCTGTCAAAGAGGATTTGCGGAGCATTGCATTTGCTTAATATTCCACTAACTCAAATTGTTTATAAGTTTTTTTTTTTGCATTTAAATCTGTTATTAAGGGACTTCGAAAACTCAATTATTTAAACGCTCATATTTTTTCACATTTTTCCTCGAATTATTTACAAGGATACTCCGTTTTAGTTTATCACAATTGTTCCAAATCCACTGTATCTTCATGATTGACTGCACGGATAAAAGTTCTAATGCTTTGACGTCTCATTTGTTCTCGGATTGTTCACTATCCATTTATTTTTTCAAGCAGGTTTCATTGAAGACCAGAGAATTTGTTTTATTCGTAATTTTCTTATTAGTTTTTTCAATATATCGAACAATATTTTTAGTTATATCGAAAAATATTGTTCGATATATTGAAAAAACTAATAAGAAAATTGCGAATAAAACAAATTCTCTGGTATTCAATGAAACCTGCTTGAAAGAAGAAATTCTGCCAACCTATACTAATTATCCATTTATTTATGCACATTTCTGTTCACATATACGAATACATAAATGAGCTTACGATTCAAGGTAGCCAGACAAGCTTCTATCTTCAGAACGTTCTCCTCACACGCAAGGTCGTTGTAATCGAGTCCATGTAATCGCGCAATAGATTATCACGAATCACGAACCCACGAAGCTAATGCAAAGATCAATTTAGTTGTTCTTCGCATTTATTAAGCAAATTCCAGGGTAGAATGAGCGGAAGAGAAGCGATAATGAATAATTGAGTAATATGAGCTGCGTAGGGATAACCACTGTCTCGTCGAATTTATTGAAGGGGCGAAGTTTACATTTCTGATGCCAGTGACTAGTTGATATTCGTCATCGTGACGCATATGTAGTAAAACTGATTGTTTATCTTTCGCGTTTATGGCTGTTCTGTAACGCCTCAAATTGCATATGCAAATCGCTCATTAAAAGATATGAAAACAATCGATATGTGGCATTTTTTATTATATATCTGCAATTGGTTATTAATTTCTTTATTTTTTTCATGTTTGCAGATTTTAATTCAGTAACTTTTAAAATATCGGACAATATAGAAAATTAGAGCTACGTGGCGTACATGTGAGTCAACACTACTGGGGCCATACTTTCAAAACTGGCTAAGTGAACGTAAGTATACTTACGCTCTATTTTCTTGTCTATGATTGGTGGATTTTGTTTGAAAGGCCGTCAATGATTGGCTGTCTTAACTTTTTTGAAAGTATGGGCCATGGATGGTGTGTCTATGTGAATATTCGTGTTTAATAACCTTAATAGTTCAGATAAATAAAAACACATTCGCATGGACAAAACCAAGCGAAACAACTGAAATAGGAATAATGAACCACAATGGTCAGTTGATATGAATGTACTCTGATATTTATGCGAGTGTTACAATTTATTTATGAAGTCACCTGTTTTATTTCGTATACTGAATACCGTCGGAGTTGGCATCATAAACAAAAATTACCCACATCGATTGGAGTGGCAATTATACGTGACAGTAAACCTCTCTGCCCATTTAAATCGTATTTTCTCATCCAAGCATAAATAAGGTTTTTTTTTGTCGTATATTTAATGGCATCTTGTTATTAAAGCTCTTGGCCTTTGCTTCTATTATAGTGGGTTTATTCAGACGATCATGTCGATTGTGTGTAAATCATCAAATAACACATGTATCTGTTTTGACGTGCTTAGCCGCGAATGTCCATTGATGACTCACAGGCGCAGCTTAGTGCCACATGTGCCTAGTACGCCACATAGTGCCACATGTGCCTAGTACGCCACATAGTGCCACACATGGTTGAACTAGTATGAGGTTGACCCATGAGAAGCCCATTTTTGCGGATGTAGTTCGTTGTTCGCATGTGACGTCACTGATCTCAGTGACGTCACGGACATTAACCAATCACCGAAATGCGATCAAACCAATCAACCAATCCGCCATGGGAATGACGGGTTTGTTTACGTTTCTTGATCTACGTGACGTAACAAGAAAGCTGAATTGAAAGACGGAACTTCTCGTGGGTCAACCTTATATAGTTCAACCATGGGTCAACCTTATATAATTCAACCATGTATCAACCTTATATAGTTCAACTATAGGTCAACCTTATATAGTTCAACTATAGTTCAACCTTATATAGTTCAACCATAGTGCCACACATACGCTTATGGCAGCCATGCAGCGGCACCACAAAGCCACGTCCGGATCCAGTTATCAGTTATCACGGTCTGTGATGCATCGCCGAGTGATGACCGCTCATGCAGCTTGTATTCAGCTCGTCTTTTCCGGTGCGTGAATGCGGACGTTGTGTTAACAATAGGAGTATAAACGTCGCCTTTACGTCATTGTAATTACTGTTTCAAATTCCAAAGGATGCACAATAAATAAGAAATAAAAATCAGTGCCGTTGTTTCATGAAATTCCTATTTGTATTATTGAACTTAATTTTTTCTGGTAAGATTTTTGAAAGTAATTATGGAATTATAAATTATGCTGATAAATAAATTTTTTAATTATAAATTATGCTGATAAATAAATTTACGCAATTGTTCCCTACCATTCCAATTATCGCACGGAATTCTTGATGAATGCCGGCATCCGTGAGCTTACTATAATGGTTTATCCTCAACTGAACGATCGAGCTGCCAGTGCAGTTGTGCGACTCTCAGTTCTATGCTTGGTCGTTGTTGAATGTCAAACCACACGCGAGATTGTGTCTCTTGGCGTTACAATTTTTCTCTATTTTGGGTAACTCGTATCTGGATTATTTATATAACAGTTACGTTGCTGCTATAAATATTCATACCTTATAATTCGTATTTGAAGTAGAAATTTCATGTGGTGATGCTGAGGCACTTAACTGCTTTATATTGCATAGTTTCATGCTATCGATTAATTATTATACCGAATGCTTGCCTCGATAATTATTAATCGATGAGGCTGATCGTGCTGATGGAATGTTGTCTACACTTGATTTTACCAGAATGAATGGCGATTTTAAAAACTGCAAATATCTTTCTCGTTCCCCATTTTGAGCCTTGTTTGTACGCCTTTATTTGATTTATTGAACAGAAATGAGTCATAAAACCATGCAAGCAATCCGTTAGTTAGTTCTTATGATTGCGCTAGAAGTGCATTGTATGATTTACTATGGATATAAATTGAAGAAACACCTGTGATTGATATTGAGTGCTCTATTATCAGTAATCTTATCTGAAGATTTCGGGCTGTGATTACGACGTACAGCTTATGACGAACACAGTTCCTGCCTGTCGTGCTGCCGCCAGACTCTGTGTTGAATATTCTTCAGTTCCGCTCACAAGCAGTGCCATCGACACCGAGCTCTTGTTCTCATGTCCTTTTAGAATAATATTGAAGTGTCGGCATTAGAGAAATAGGCCCATGGCCTGTTGCTAATTCTTGTACTTTCGTGACTTGATTCACAAGGGATCCGGCCTGTGGAACCTGATCTTTCTTTACATAACTGACGATTGATTGAGATAGCTGCTGGACTTATTGCCTGGTCCGTAAGTTCTTTTGACTTGCATTGTGACTTGAAAGCTCATAAAATTCTAAAAGTTGATTAAGATTTAGTGACAAGTTCTTCTGCGGTGTTGGCTCCACGAATTTCACACAGATTCCTTGAACGAACAAGTGCGTTCTTTCAAATGCGATGTTTTGCATTACTATAATTTCAATGCGAATGTGTAAATTTAGAGATTTTTTTTACCGGTTTTGGGACTAATGGGAGCTACGGAGTAATTACCTGAATTAACTATCGTATCTGTGCGTAGTTGCTTTAAAATATTTCCCTCTATCGTCTTCACCTTTCCTCGGATCAGTAAAAGTTGACCCTAACTCTCGTATTTCTCAGAAGAGTTGTCCTTTCGCATTTCAAGTTTTCTAATTCTGACTTGAACATTCTAAAAGAAAACTACATTCTTTGGTAAACCATTACTTTTGTGCAGATTGTCACTCTGAGCATTTGCGCACTTGCATAATGTAGGCAGTAATTATTTATTATCGTCTAATACTTCAGCTTTGAATTTAGTCAGGTTTTCTTATCTCTCTGTAACGTATTTCCTCTTTTCTGTTGCAGAACCAAGCAGCGGCCCAGCTTCGCGCCCCCACACTCCTGAATTGCTCGATAAAAACGGGCAAGAACGACACGACCCTGCAGCGGCGACAACACTCTATAACTCTCCCATCGTGTACAGGAATTGCAATAGCAGAAATATATCAGAGTCTTCTTCTGATTTTGGACCCGAGGATTTGTCCTTACAAGAATGTGATTCCAGAAACACAGTGAAAGACGAGTCAAATTTTACATATAAACAGAAAATTGCAGGAGACCAAGCAAACCCACAGCGGTCCTTTGAAGACCAAACAAAAGTGGGATTTTTTGCAAACAAACCACATTTTGTTGAAGAAAAATTCACTGACGGTCACTTGAATAACGTCGGTCGTGAACAAAGCTCAATTGAAAGCCGAGCTCAAGTTGAGATCGAGAATTCGAGTCGAGCTGAGACCGAGAACTCAAGTTCTCTCGACAGGCAGGAGAAGGAAGAGCAGGAGAAAGCCCTCGAACTGCACATCCAGCAGCAGATCCTGCGACACCAGCAGGAGTTCCAGCGGCACCATCACAAGCGCCAGTTGTCTGCTGGAGGATCATCTTCGACCAGGTTCTTAACATCATTTTAATTTTTTCTGATATTATTATTTTTCTTATTATTATCATTTTTATTTTTTCTGATATTATTTTCGGATATATTAGCACTCCAACCTACACATTGGACACTCATTTAAAATTTATGATGTTGCTGATAAATCTTTTGTCACAGAATTGCTGCGGTTAATAGTTGCTAGATCCATGTCGGTAATGAATCACTATTTTCATACCAGAAATCAGTTCACGCCCTGTAGGATATAATTTCCATGATCAATATGATGATTAGCTGCTAGTATTTTTTTGATCCGGCTGATTTATAGACGTTGTATTGAATATATTATACCAAAAATTTCCGCGCGTGGTTAAAATTTTGTTCCGGTCTGTACAGATTATTCAAATTGTACCACTTAAAGAAAATAGCTAGCGCATGTGTATTTTGGGAAATAGAATTGGCGTGCATTGATTTGTGTGTACAGTATATATCGTCTTCGAGATATTGGAAGTAAATCACCACGTGTAAATTTAATTGGACCTCATCCTTTTGATGTTGCATTTGACCTCATTCGTTTGATGTATTGAATTTCTGAAAACAATTTTTTTTATCTTTTCGCCGCGCTTAACGTAATATGTCACTGCAGGATTCATAACATAATATGTCACTGCAGGACTCAGAGACGGCCTATAGAGCGCGCGTGGCGGTCTCTGTCTAGACCCTCCTTGCCTGCACCACGCGCCAGCAACGCTGAGCTGCGCCAGCTCACTGACTTCGCTCTTGATGATCCCGCTGAGATAGCTGCCTTCATTGCCACCCTCAGGAAGGAACGGTCAGCGCTGTAATTAGTGATTGCATTTTTACGACAAACTCTCTGTTTACTACGTCAATTACGTCGTGATTTCTATTTAGTACGATAACAGCGGCGTGGTATAATGCAGTTTTTACGTCTTATCTTATTTCTACTTCTTCTTTAGTTAATATGAAGTTAGTGTTATAAGTGCATGTTACTAAATAACATAATTTTCGTGGCTATTAACAAAGCACCATGTGGTGTGATTGCAGGTCCCTATACGTGAATAGCGTTTCTAATGCGGTGAGAATAGTGGTGTGGTATGTTGTATCATATTTCTACTGTTTCTTCAGTTAATATGAAAATCAATGTACGTTACTGAATAATATAATTGTCATGGCTATTAACAAAGCAACACGTGGTGTGGTTGCAGGTCCCGACTGTTACAAGAGATCGAGAGCGAGGAGTCTGAGCGTGGCCTCTACAACGAGCAACTCGACGCCCTCACCGACCGTCTCGCCGAGCTCGCTGCTGCCGGCAGACATCAGGTACGTTGAGGCCATGGTTGAACTAAAAATATATTATATAGTATTATGCAGATGCTCTTATTCGTGCACATTTTCTAGCAAATTTATTATCCATGCACGCATTTCCGTAACACTTGTTGTGCATGTTTAGAATTTTACAATTTAAAATATTTCCACAATTTTTAGCGTTTTCATTTCACTTATTTTTAGCGCATTTTCTCATTTATGGAAAAAAAACGCTATTGTCGTCGTCATGTCCATGGTTGAACTATACAAGGTTGACCCACGAGGATTCCCGTCTTTCAGTTAAGATTTCTTCTTACGTCACTGAGATCGAGAAACTTTAACAATCCCTTCATTCCCATGACGGATTGGTTGACTGGTTTGATCGCATTTCGGTAATTGGTTAATGCCCGTGACGTCACTGAGATCAGTGACGTCACAGGCGAACAACGAACTACATCCGCAAAAATGAGCTTCTCATGGGCCAACCTTATACTAGTTCAACCATGCGTTAAAGCTGTTCAAGCTGCAATCAGAGATATGAGTGTATTATTGTCCAAGTAGCGATGCACTTTTTTATTTCTATGTGTAAGTAATACTGACCGAGTTTGGCCCGGTAAAAGGGCGTGTCAGTGCTACGTTCGTTCTCTGCTCGTGATGTGGGTAAGAAAGTGTTTCACTATTTGGAGAAGGTGATCAAATTATGTTTATGAGTGTTGTGCTTACTTGTGGCTTTTCATAATAAAGCCTTTGTTATGATTTTGTTTGAGATCAGCATCGAAATTCGACGGCGCGGACATGCATTGCCAACTATACTGTCTTGCTTTAGTGACTTCATGTTTGCATTATTATAATATTTCAATAACACCGGTTAATTTATTTGTGCAATAGTTTCAGTTATTTCGATAATATGTTATTGTGGATTAATTTTTACTTTGACATCGCTTGGCCATCGCCCATATCTGACGGACGTCAGTCGAAACTTATTCCGCTAATTATCACGGTAATGGTTTGGTCCCAGTAATTGATTCTACGTCGTTTAATTTTCTTACGACAGTTTCCCATCGAGGGCGTGACGTTAGCGCTATCAGAGCGCTTGTTTGCTCACCGATTTGCGAAATGCTTTGCCAAGCAAACAGAGTGTCTGTCTGACGCTCAGATGTCCCCCCGAAGACAGTATATTTCTGACGCGCCTCTTAAGCGTATTAATTTTAGTTCAGTCATCCCGAGAAGCTTCCTCTTAACTTGCGACGTCGTGTAGTCAATTCACTATACGAGTTATATTAATTGGTTGGTGTCGAATTGATTTAAGTAAGAACTTTTATTTAATTAACCCTGTAAATATAATTATAAATTTTTGTTTACCTATTTCAGTATTTCAAGGCTCTTTTTTTCGGACAATGTGCGTCTATATACCCGTAATTTATTTGGATGGAATATTTATTATTTTCTACTTTCGTCGGTATGCTTTATTCATATAAGAAAAACGAATGCTAGCCAATGATGTTTGATGTCCCTAGCACTATTGCATCGCTTCGTGATGTCGCTATTCATTTACGCGCAGCAAGTCGACTGTTCTTTGACTGTTTTAAACGTGCATGGTAACAGCTACACTGCATATCTTACAGATTCATTTTGAATGCTATGGTTAGGCAGTAAAACGCATCGTATATATATCCTTCTGAAAGTGGACAGCATCCACTAGCGCAGTTGCTGCGGTTTTAACGGCACAAGTAACTGGAATTTCTGCTACACTGCTACCTCTTACGACACATTAAGGCAGTTCAACGCCGGGTTTCATCTTCAATGTAACAATGTAGTAACACTTCACTAGTTGTTAATTAGCTTTACTACTTAAAGAACGAATATTATTTAGTCAAACTGAAATTTTTGTTTAATTTTTCTATGAAAACGTCTTTAGAGAACAGCTACAGCTATTACAGTTGCATAAGCAGCACTGCGACAAGTCGTGCTGCGCGCTGACGCGGTGTGACCACAGCATCGCTCATTAGGACGACGAGCGGTTAGTTAGTCGTGACAGCCGTGGCCGCTGGCTCGCTAGCTCCCGTGCAACTAACACCTTAGCTCTTCACACTTTCTTAGCACAAGTATAAGTGTATTTTATATAACGCGAGCTTAAAATTTCTTAAGAGTCGATCTTAGATCTGTTTGTGTAGTGAAGGGAACACTAGTTATCCGGAGTTTAGATACGAATAGCTTTATAATACGGCTAATGTATCTGCTGAAAAAGAATGTCGAAAAGTTAAGGTCAACTGATGCAACTAGCTGCTCAGGAATTGATTCAGCAGATTAATATGTTTCGAAATCCGCGCCCAGAGGTCACTGCAATGCGGCTGCTGTGTTACGCAGCGTCAGGGCATTGAAAATGCCCACACTTGCACTGAGGCCGGGATTACGTCACGCGCGGTCACTAACATTCCTCGCATACATGCCTGCTTTTTTTTTGTCTGTCGTGAATGCCGTGCGAGGAGAAAGTTAGTTGCGTTTTTTCTATGTTAAAGATGAAAGATCTTTTTATGATCTTTGAGAATATTTAATTTTTCATCTTCCCCTCTCAAGTGTAGTTCATTGCGTTCCTTTTTCAATTTCTTTTGGAAATTTTCATGCAATATTCGTTTTCATCGTATTATTCTTATCCTCTTCCTGCGGGCCTTCACTCATTCTTTTTATCTTCTTTCTCTTCTAAATTACTCTCAAATTACTCTTCCATTACTTCATCCCTATTTCAATATCTGCTCTCCTGATCCATCTTTATCCTCTCTCTCAACATCTTTTTTACCCTTACACCCCTCCCCCCCGCGTCGCCGTCTACTGAGTGCAGTTACCCTCACGCGGCTCGCGTCTCGCTGCCTCTCATGTGTTCAGTGTGTGCCTGGCTGTTGTGGCGGAAGGTGGTGTCGTGTTCTGTGCTTTCTATCTGCTAATTTTCTTGTTATTATAATTCGTTAGCAAAATTCTCAGGCATTTTGGTCCTATGAACGTAATGGACGATTTTATTTATGAAGTGTACCATCTCATGACGAGCATTGTGTTGGCGATTAGTTCGGTGATCGCTTCTTTGTTACGACGCGGCTGCTTGCCTCCCAGAAAACATGGGACTGTGCTAATCTTTATTCATTTAGAAAATGTTTTAACATGGCATCCATTGCCGCTCTAGTAATTTTATCTCGTTAATTCTCACTCGTTAAAATTAATGTTATGCCTTGATGTCACGCTGATATTGTGACGTCACGCCTTATTGTCACGCTGATATTGTGACGTCACGCCTTAGTGTCACGCTGATATTGTGACGTCACGCCTTAGTGTCACGCTGATATTGTGACGTCACGCCTTAGTGTCACGCTGATATTGTGACGTCACGCCTTGTTATTACTATTGTTTATGTTCACTTATTTTTACTATTTAGTCTTGCTACAATCATAGTCTTGCTCCCTTATAATCATACTCCACACATACATACGAGTCTATCATAGTTATTATAATGGTTAAATCCTCACTCAACGTTTTTCAATTAAACATTGGAATTAATTTGTGAGCTTCCGCATTTAATCTTCACGAATGCTGAAACCGGTATTATTATTATTATTATTATTATAATGTGGTCATTTTCCCACCTACGAACTTCACTGCTAACTCTGCCCTTGCGTGCCTGCAATATTAGTGTTGGGTTTAGTGCTCCTGTGATGTGGGGCCAGAAGGCTGCCTTGTTTGCTCTAGCGAGGTCTTTGATGAACCCACTGCCAATATTTGATAATCTTCGTCGTGCATCAAATGTACGAGACACGCCTCTGAGGTCGAGGCAAAACAAACGCAAGAACTGACGATGCTGTGGCATATCTATAGAGTCGGGGTCTGGCTTATCAATTCAGCAGGCCCATGTTGGACCACATGCTAAACGGAACCATGTTTGCCCAATGTTCAGCAGGCCCATGTTAGATCTCATGCTAAACGGAACCATGTTTGTCCAATGTTCAGTGGGCCACGTTGGACCACATGCTAAACGGAACCATGTTTTCCCAATGTTCAGTGGGCCACGTTGGACCACATGCTAAACGGAACCATGTTTGTCCAATGTTCAGTGGGACCAAGTTGGACCACATGCTAAACGGAACCATGTTTGCCCAATATTCAGTGGGCCCACGTTGGGCCACATGCTAAACGGAACCATGTATGCCCAATGTTCACTGGGTCAACGTTAGGTAACATATTGACGGTGAAACGCAAGACGCTGGAATGCGTAAGATTTTCGATGCTACGCGTGGTTGCACTGCTTATATAGAAGCTGTATCATTGCCTATGCCTTCGCGAGACGGACTAATTTCTTTGGCTGGAATTTCACAATACAGTGCCTCCGTATCCGAAAGCATAGCTCTGTGTTACGCAGTGTCGCCATATGACGGGTTGCTGCCTGCGTTACGTCGCCGTTCTCTTGGCAGCTGTTGCCTCGCCTTGACAGCTGTTGCCTCGCCTTGACAGCTGTCAGTCTCTCGGAAAACCTGTGTGGTTATTTTGTCCTAGCGTTTCTGTCGATATTTGCGTTTCGGTGCTGTAACCGCAGTGTGTTTTGGAATATAATTATTGTAAAGAACACGAGTCTAGTATTTTTAATTGTTAACTTGCCGAAATGTGTCACATTTTTTAGTAATCTTTCTGGTCGAGGATTGATTACGGATTTACGGAAGTGCAAAATGCAGTGGTATGTTGGTTGATATCTATTATTGGCGCGTGCGGGGCTTATCAATTTATTTGCTCTCTCCTTTCTGATCCTTTCTGAAATGGAGAAGACTTCCAAGTCTGATGCTAGCGAATTAATTTGTTAATTATTTCCCGTAATTCCAAGTCTCAAACTTCAATCCTACTTGAAATGCAAGCGTCGTGAAAGGTGCTGCCCTAAACTAACTGATAATTTCTTATTTCTCTAAATAGGTGCGGGTATCAAATGGAAATGATATGGTAGTTTTAAACCTTCCTGCCACCGTTGCTTCGCCGGTGTAAAG